AAAATAAAAATCCAAAACCAAAAATCATAAAAAGTAAAAAAGAACAAAAACAAAAATAACAAATAAAAAAATGGAAAAATGGAAAAATGAGCTCATAGATGATGCTATATGAACATTACCATTGAGTTTAAAATATTGATTTTTTAAGTTAAATTATCAAATAATAGTTTTATTAATATAATACATATATATAAATATAAAATTAAATTAATAATAAAATATATACTTTTATAAATACCCTGAAATGAGTTGGGACAAAAAACCCTAAATACATTTTTGACCCAATCTCATATCTTATAAAAAAAACTTGATTCATCTTAACTCTATCTCGATTTAAAAAAATTTCTTCTTATTGTCATAACGTCTAGATTTGGAGATCTATCGCTAGACATTGACTTGATGAGTCGCCACCAATCTTTTTTGTTTAGATGCGATTGGTCACCTAACTAAATCTATCCATTTTAAAGAGAAATCCTAAGTTCGACTTAGGTATCTCTAAAAGATAAATTTAATGTCTGCGAAACCAGAACTAGGTATGGGGGTAAGGTTACATGTGAGGAAGGTTATAACATCCTCACAACGCCCATCGAAAAATGGTATCAGCTTAATTTCGTGTTATCTAATAAGCTTTAAAAATTACTAAGTAATTAATTATTGAAATTATCCTTAATTAACTCCAATACTTTTGGCAAAAAATTTAAAAAAAAATTTTCAACTTAAAAGTATACAAGAAAACTATTGTTTCTCTTGCAGAGACTCCATCGTCGGATTATTTAACATTTAAAAATTTTTCAAAGAAAAAAAAAGACAAAAGGAATAATGATTCAACTTTTGATATAGATCTCTTTGTGTTTTATTAGAAAAAACTCATACTTTTATACAAGAAAAATTGATACTTTCAATTTTTTCTTAAAGCATTTTAAGGTTTTCTTTTTTTTTTTTTTAGAATTTTATTTTTAAGGAAAATTGGTACTTCCAACTTTTTTTCAAAATGCTTTTTTTGAAAATTTATTTTCAAGGAAAATTGATACTTTCAACTTTTCCTTAAAACTATTTTTATTTTGAAATTTTTTTTATTTTTTATTTTCAAGGAAAATTGATACTTTTAATTTTTTTTCTTAAAAATGTTTTTTTGAAAAATTTTATTTTGAAGGACAATTAGTACTTTCAACTTTTTCTCAAAAATATTTTTTAGAAATTTTTATTTTAAAGAGATCAAAAAATTGAAGAATATTTAATTAAATGAATAAATGATTTCAATTTAATCCATAGATAAATTGGTAAAAAAAATCATATTAATAGATAAATAACAAAAAAATAAAATAAAAAATAAAAAACCTTAGAACGGCTCATCTCAACGTGATGGAAGTGCGACTCGAGAGACAGAAGTAGCTAGATGACTTGGTACACGACTCAGCTTAACGACTCAATAACGACTAAGCAAAAAAAGGTAAACGGGTTGAAGCGCTACAGGTCGGGTCAGATTTTGGGTGACGCACGAATCCTATCCATTTTCAGCTACCCCAAAATGGCATCATTTTCAAGTAGTATAAAAGGCAAAAAAAAATATTTTCGCCAAATGCTTCACCATTTTCTTTGTCTTCCCATCAGTTTTCTCCACGTCTATCTCTAAACACAAAGAATATCAGTAGAATTCTCATTGGTTTTTTGGTTTTATCACTGAAAACTAGGCTTTTCACCAAAAAAGTCATTGAAAAACTTGAATTTCCTCAAAAAATTTAATGGAATCTGAAATTTTTCAAAAATTTTCTAGAAAAAAAAACACCAAAAATTCAAAAAATTTTCTAAAAAGCTTAAACTAGTTCTACACCTTCTAAATACCTTTTTTTTTTCTTTTCTTTTGTTTGCTTTTTGTGTCTTGTGATTTTTCTTTCTGTTTCGTGTGTGTTCTTTTTTTTGTATATGATCCACAGGTTATTTATAGGGTTCAATCAGAAGAGTTTCTGATTGACCCTAATTCCCTCTTTGAATAGGATTACCAAAAAATAAATTGAATCTCACTTCAATTCTACCAGCCACAATTCACGATAAATTTTTCTTTTTTTTTTCATCATCTTCTAGAATAAAAATTAAAAAATAAAAATAAAATTCAGAACAGATAACCAAAAAAAATAAAAAAAATAAAAAATGAAAATAAAAATAAAATGAGCTAATTTGTCCCATCTGGATCAGGCCCAATTAATCCGAACTTAGACCAAATTGGGTGTCTACACCTATCATATTGGAATGGATGAAAAACCATTAGATACAAATTTTTTAAACAAAATTAATTTAATAGAAAAAGATATAAAAACAAAAAAAAGGAAAAGATCAAAGAAAAAAGGAAAATTTTTGTTTATTTAGAAACTATGTAGATATCCCAATTGAATGTAAAATATTAATTTTTTAAATTAAAATATTAAATAATAACTTATTAATAAAAAATTACAATAAATAAACAATAAAAAGGAAAAAAAGAAAAAAAAAAGACCTATGAAATGTTATGTCGATTTTCAAATTTTGTTTAAAATGTTAATATCTTAAATTAAGTAAAATAACATCTTTATTAATATAATATATATAAATATAAAATTAAATATACAATAAATATATACTTTTATATATATATATATATATATATATCACGATATGACTTAAGACAGAATATCCTGAATATACTTTTAACTTATACCTACTTTTTATAAAAGAAAAAAAATCAATTCAATTTAACTCGATATTGATTTTTTACCAAAACACCCATATTATATCGAGACAGATAAAAATATATCGGATACTGATTATTTTGTCATCGTTATCAACTGACTCATTTTATTATAAAATTGATCTAATTAAAAAAACATGAAAACCAAAAAATACAAAAGGAATAAACAAATGTGATGCTACGTAAATACTTCTATTGCTATTATTTTCTTATACAATTTATCTAATAAAAACAATAAATGAAAAAAGAAAATGCAAAAAATTTAGAAAAAAAAAAGCAAAAAAGAAAAAAAAATCATCCCCTATCAAATCGAGTTAGATCATAATCAATCAAATATGAGTTCTTTTATCATCCATATTATAATTCAAATTTATATAATTGATGGATTGATTAAATCTTAATTATATATAAAATAATATTTTTATTAATTAAGATATTAAATAATAATTTTATTAATATAATAATAAGAAATAAAACAAATAATTAAAATATAACTTTATATACACATACACACACACTTGAGACAAGATAAAATTCCTTAAACCCATTAAGGCCTGATGCCAATTTAAAAAAAAAAAAAAAAAGAAAAATGTCAATATGAATTCGAATTTTTTTAAAAACCCACATGTATGAGATCGAACCGTATGAAAATCTATTAGATATGAGTTATTTTATCATCTTTATATTCATTGATTTTTTTTGTAAAATTTATTTAGTTTAAAAAAAATCAAAAACTTTTTTAAAGAAACAAAAGAAATGGCAAAAGAAAAAAAGTAAAAAAAAATGAAGCCAAATGGAGATATCACATAGATTAAATTAAGTTATTAAATACTAATTTTATTAATCTAATATATATAATTAAATTTAAATAAATAATAAAAAAAAATTTTATTCAGACAAGACAAAATATTTTTAACTCATATTCGAATTAAAATTCAACAAATGCGTATTGTTTTGTCATATGTACCTTTATTAACTTTCAAAATTTTATTTACCACTTTATTTTGGTACAAATTTTTGTCTAATTAAAAATAAAAAAATAATAGGTGAAAAATAAAAAAAAAATAAAGTGCCACATGTACACATTTATTGGATTTCTTTTAAAAAAAATCAAATTAAAAAAAATATATAAAAAAATAGATAAAATGCAAAAATAAAAAATAAAAAAGAGTTTCCATGCGACACTAGAAATGACTAGCTTTTATTGAAAATTTTATATCATGGAACCTAAAAAAATGTAAAAGAAAGGACCAAGAAAAGGAAAAATATCAAATCTAGAGTAACGTCAATACTTCCAATAATATATATATATATATTTTAATTATCAAATAAAAAATAACAAAAAAGATTAAATATATTTTTAATAATAATATCAAATAGACCTATATTAAAATTTTTTAAAATATTCAAAATATTTTTTAAATATAAAAAAATAAAAATAATCAAATTACTTACAAGTAGCATATGAAATCAAGCGAGTATAACAAAAAATCAAAAAAAATTATCAAATATGTAAAAAATGAAAAAAAAAAAAAAAGTAAAAAAAGGAAGAAAACGCATGGAATACCTTCGGTAACATTTGTCTCCCACATAAAAATTTAAAACTTAAAAATTTTAAAAAGGAAAAAGGAAGAGAAAAAAATTAAATATTGAATATTAAAGTGGGTTGCAATAAAAAAAAAAAAAATTTTGGCTAGGGAAATAAATCTTAAAAAAATCTATATTTTTTAAATAATTTTAAAAACCATTTATTAAATATAATAAAAAGTATAAAAAGCTAAAAACAAGATATAAAACAGAAAGAAAATAAAAAACAAAAAATGACGTGACATCCAAAGCAGATCCTACATCTGCAAACTTTACATATAGGATACATACTACACGCATACCATACATACTACATGCCGGTATGCTTACACCTTCCCTCAAAACAAAATTGACACAAATTTTACCTTAGGAGAAAAGATTTTCAATACATAGTGTCACCCAGTTAATATCATCCACCAATCTAACTTAAGTTCACTTAAAAAGGCAAAAAAAAAAATTTTTTCTTTTGTTTCATAGATGACTCCTATAGAAAACAAAGTGTGCCAACTTATATCAGCTGTAAAAACTTAAGAACGGATGGGTTATACATGAAGTGAAGAAGCTAAAGGAGGAGTCAGATCAGACTGGTAAGCACAGAAATAATATCAAACTTGTTGAATAAAGACAATTGTGTAAATAAGCAATCAATTGGAGTGAAATGAACCTAACTTAAAACAATGCCAACCACAGCTAGGCACCATGCTTTGTTGTTGCTACCTGAACTTCGGTGGCTTAAGCTGCTGTTTTTTACTCATAAACCCTATCTTGACACGCCTTCTATTGGATAGTTTTACTCCGCCTTGGCGCATAAACATCTGCCACCAATGTAATTTCTTCACCTTCCTATTTCTATGGCCGTGTTGGTCATTTCCTAGCCACCCAATCCGACCTTTGGAAGGCTTTGATTTCCTTGGATTCCGAAGGTGCTGCATTAATCCTTCCACTAGTGCATGAAAATGCCCTGCCTGATGCTTGACTGGCACATTACTCACCCTCGCTTTTCTTAATTTATCATGAACTTCATGTCTATTTCTGTGATGAAAAAGATTGCGCAAAGGCTTCCATGTGGATTTGGTTTGACAACCCCTGGAGTCATCCTGATCATTACCGTGATGATGATGGTGATGGTGATGATGATGATGAAAAATTAGCCCTAACTTGTTCTTAAACCTCCTTAGCCGTCCAAGCATTTGAACTTCGGCTTTCTCAGACTCAGAAATTGTGGGACGGATTGGTTTGTGTGTTTTGGTAGGATACAATCCACCTGATTCACCAAAATCTCTGTAATCACTGCTAGTTGATGAGCAATTTTCTTCATATACTCCACGAGCAAACCTCCTGGATATTGAAGCTGCACTGTCCTTACTAAGCAAAGAATAAGCCTCACTGTCACTGCTGCCAGTGCCAGAGGTAGTAGACTCCTCAGATTCTTGCTGATGATGTAGAATCTTATTCCGCAAAATCCTTGTACGACCTTTTTGTCCTGGTAGAGTCTGATATGCAAGGATTTTCTTATCAGTAATCGGCCTAACCGAAGCCTTGGATCCTGCTGACTGAGATGGTATTGGAGGTCTTAATTTTGCTATGATTGGTGTCGATTCTTTCCCCCCATTACTTATTGGGATTGCATACGGTGTTTTCTCAGGCACAGGAGGCCTCTTGGTGATATCATCCTGGTTAATTGGAACCCTTAACCCGTGAACATAGCAACCAGTAGTTTGACTTTGTTTATGACTGCCTGCTTCTACCATGCCAATCACATTTCGATTACCTACCTTTTTATTCAGCCTACTATTACTCCTTACAATATGCTTGCAAGTTTGACCTATCTCATTATGCTGAATCCTTCTCCTTTGGCTCATCATATCATCCAACAAGTCATTCTCACCTTGATCCAACACCCGATGACTCCCATTTGAGTCATCTTTCTTTCCAATTCTTTGGCACTCCAGCCTACTAAGCAGTAACTCATCCCTGTCTGATAAAGGCTCAAAAGCTTGGCTCAGTTCATTCTTTTTTATCAAATGCTCTTTTCCTTGTACAATAGGACACACGGATGTAGGCATATTAGCCAAACCTTGTTGCACAGCTCCTTTGGTACCATCTGCCAACTTTGAACACAAACGCAAAGCAGAAATGTGGGATTGAATGTGCTCGACTAAGTTATCTACATCTTTGTAGAAATTATTTACTGCCTCCCCTTCTTTTTCATCCTGATTAGCAAGATTATCTCCAGAAGCTAAAGACCTCGAGGACCCAACAACTGAACCAACTACACTTGGAATAATTATACCTTGGAATCCACAAATACTGGTCTGCCTCATTGTTTCGCTGCTTTTCACTACCTTCATATTTTTTTCATTTCTGAATAGTAATTTCCTTTCATCCCTGCTGGCTTCACAAAAATGTCCTAGAGGATCACATCGATAACCTTGTTGCTTCGAGTCTTTGCTCAAAATCCTGGCTGTGCTCTGCTGCTTCATGCTGCTTTGCTCGTTGAACCCACAATTTTTCTTTCTATTTTCTGGTTTGTCTACGGAAGAGCTCAGTCTAGATTGCTGTGAGATAACTTCATGAGTTGTTAGCTTGTTAGGAGAATCTTCATCTTTCGGTGAACTATATGCATGGTGATTTGATTCTTTCATAAAGTTACAAATTACATCCGTAGCACCTTTTAACATATCTGGGGAAACACAAGGCTGAAACTCTGATACAGCCCTGCATTTTTCTGATTCAGAAGAACAGGATGTACTACAGACACCACATTCTGCAGCTGCTATTATCTGTGATACAAATTAATTGACAACCAAGATTACAATCATTGAGAAGGAGCTACTTCATTTTCTTGGATGAAACATAAACTGAATTATAGAGTGCTCATTGTTGAACAGCATATTGCAGTTGGAATCACAATAGTGGGAGCATCACTGTTCAATTATTTTGTTACTAATTATGAAAGAAAATGATTGGAAAATAACACCAAGTAGTAAACAACCTGACACAAGTCCACACATTGACAGACATGGTCTATGTACCTTTTTATGTGTCTCCAAAACCCTCTTTGTAGCACCATCTAGAAGAGTCTTTAATAAGAGCTTTGATCTTTCACCTAACTGCTTTCCATCAGAGGACAAATAAATGTACATAAAGATCAAGTATATCTTCCAAATTGCTACACTTCTAAGCAAATTTCTATTGCCTGAAAATAATGAAAAGACTCTTAAAATGGAAATGGACAGTCTACAATACCTCAGTCCTTCAAGAGAGAATTCTATTGTAAAAGTTTTCAAAATTCAACAACTAACTGAGAAGTTATAATTTCTTGAGAGCAAAATAAGTGAAATTAGCAATTTACATAATCCTAATGTAAAAGATGGTAACCAAAAGGGTTAGGCTATTAGGTTAGAGCCCAAGAATAGGTTCATAATCTGTGAACCTCAAGTAGATCCAAAGATTTTAAACACGAGATTGTGAAATAATATTAAAATGATATGAAGAAATATATGAAAATAATACAGTTTAAAATTTTAGTAAAAACAGTTTACAAATTTGACAAAAATAAAAAAATATATATGTTTCATATTTTGGATGTTGGCACGAATTGTAACACAGCCATTTTGATACACATACTTGACAGGAAATAGATACAACACAAATACACAATTACCAGGTCTATCATCAAGCATAAGAACATTTTCAGTAACCATCACATTCACAGCTACTAAGATGAAAAAGGAAAAGAGATAAGGTTTCCAAGAGAATTACTAACAACCACATTGCATGCAACATCTCCACCGCATTGTAACAATCCATATAATTCTCTTAAAGCTTCAAGATAGGATCGTAAATCCTTCAGTTCCATCTCCCTTATGGAAACTCTGGGAAGAATTATCAAAACCCAAATTCAAAAACAAATTTAAAGTCCCACATCCTAATTTGTTGAAGCAATTTTCCTATCTTCAGGATCCCTTAAGACAGAGTTTCATAATTAGAGTTATTAATTTAAATAAGAAAAAGGGAATTCACCAACCTTAACGATTTTAGTAATTTTTTTAAAAATCTTTTTTGAATGTTTACTTCCAAGCAATGAAACATTAAATTCACCAAAAGCAATTAAAAAAATCAATAAAAATGATACTTACAGTGATATTCAGAGCAAAATAAGGGATTATGTGTGATAATCTGCAAATTCAACATGCAAATGGCAGAGAGCGAGGACATACTTTCAAAAAAACAGTTACTTGATTTGTTTTCCATATTATTAATTATAAAAAATACAAGCAACGGTTGACACGCATACTTGTATGTATTAATAACCACGTAAAAAAAAACATATACAAATGAAAACATATTTGCTCTTTTCACAAAATTTTTAATCCAATAAAAAAATATTTTATTTTATTATTTTAAAAATAACATCACAAAACAATTAGGCTTTTTTTTTTTAATGTTTCTTACAACATTATTCAAAAGCAGTCATTTTCAAATCAACTCTTAGTCTATTATTGTTGTATGTTTGATTTAATGACAGATGTATGTATCTTTTACTAAAAAAATGAATTAGAGATCTCTAAAAAAATTCGTTTTAATTCAACAAAATTATTTTTAAAACAAGATAAATAATACTCAATAAAAGCTCTCCTAGTCAACACTACGAATATATCACCCGTGTTAAAGTAGAATTAATCAATCATAATTTAAAATTATTAAAAATTTATTAAAATTTTATATGAAATTAATACTTATAAGTGGTGGATCTCACATAATTTTAAAGTGTGATTAAAAGTTTATAGTATTATAATAAAGAGAATTAGAGGTGAAAATCTCTCCAATAGATTAGTCACCTAATTTATCCTTTATTTATCAAAGAATAATGTCACATTTGACTTTTGGACTATACCAATTGTTACATTTGCCGTCAACCACCATTGCATTGCACCGATTTGCTTCCAAAATTCCCTCAAATAATCTTATTTACCTACTCTTTTTTTCTAAAGATTTATATTTTCTCAATAAGCCTTCTTTTACATGAAAAACAAAAGAAGCTGAATCCTAGAAACTTAGATCTACCATTATAGCCACCTCCAATGGCCACCAAATTCTTCGCGAGTCTTCCCTTCGCCTTTCACTAGGTTCCCTCTGTTGAGATTTCTCAAAAACTATTATAGGCCTAATATCACAACTAGTTGAATTGGTCCAATGTCAGATCTTTTTAACGATTCAGTGCAGTCATATTAATCATTTTGAATGTTAGTTAATTGTTGTTAATTTCCGGGATCAGTTACAAGAGTGGGGATTAGTTATTACGTAGCTGAGCCAGCATCTATTGGAGTGTTTTAAAGGGATGTAGTGATTCCATATGCTTGTTCTAGAATTTTATAAGAAAAATATCTTTCTCTTTCTTTTCTTTATTCCTTTCTAAGCTCTCCAAGCTATTTGTGTGATTATCTTCTGTATTTCCGTTCTTGAACTTATCAAGTTGGTATTAGAGCCGTCGATTCTGCCATGGCTGAAAGTGTGACTGCAAGGATACAGAAGGATATGGGCCAGATACAGAACAAGGTTGAAAAGCTAGATGCTAAGTTGAGCAACACAGCATCGCAGCTAAGAGATGAGTTTGTTTTAGAGTTGGATTACAAGCTACAAGTTCGGTTGGAGAAAATTGGAGCTAACCTAAGGAAGATGGCAAAGGAGATGTTTTCCTAGTTTGATGGGCTATCCAAGTCAACTAAAGCAAGTAATAGTGGTGCGACCGTTGCTTCCATGGCCAAACGGAAGGGTATCTTAGAGGCTAGCAGCATGAGTCGATCCTTCCTTGATAGTTTTGTTCTAGCGGGAGTTCACACCAAATACTCCAAGGTAAAGTGTCCTCATTTTGATGAGGTTGACTTTAGGGGATGGTTGCTCAAGATTGAGCATTTGTTTAGGAAAATAGACCAAGGAATTTAATAAGAAGAAGGTAGTGATGATGCATTTCGAAAGCAAAGCTTTGCAGTGGCCTTAACGATTCATAAAAAGTAAGGGTAAGCTTTCTAAAGTTTCTTGGCACCAATATATTACTGAAATGAGAATCAGATTTGATAAGAATGAATTTTCAAATCTATTGCTTGAGCTTGCTAGTTTAAAAAAAAACTAATATTACTGAAGAATACTATGATGTTTTGAGTGCTTGTTGAATATGAACATGCCCTGAGTATTTTCATTAGCAACCTTAATCTTGAGATTTCCAAACCAGTGAGGATGTTTTATCCAAAAACCATAACCTATGCCTATAATCTATCAAAACAAATGGAATCCCTTATTTTTAATATACCTCAAAAAACTTTTACTCCCTATAAAAATCCATGGACAATCCCACTCTAACAACTCATTTTCAAGCTCTGCCAAATTAGCCACCCCAACCTTACTTCATACACCAAAAACTTCATTAATTCCTTGCTCAAAATCCATCATTAAAGTATCCAGCCAATACTGAAAAACCTTCAATGACCAAACTAGATTACAATCAACTTAAAGGTAACATATTACCCACTAATGAAGAAATGGATGAGAGGAAAGAAAAGGCTATGCGTGTGGTGTGGTGTTAAGTTCGTGCTAGGACAGAAATGTATATTAGGTCTCAACTATATCAACTACTAAAGGAGGAAAGGGTATCTTCAAATGAGGAACCAAAGGAGTTTTTAGACTATTTGGAGTCTATTAAAGAGCATTTTATAGAAGTAGTCGATAGTTTAATGGACCTACGATCTCATTGCATGCTTTAATTAGCACCACTGGTTCTCAAATGATGAGAATACATGGCAAGATTAAGAACCAGCTGCTAATTATCTTGGTAGATTCAAGAATATAACTTTCTAGATCAAACAATTGCAAAGTGATTAGGATGCAAGCAATTCTAGGTTGAAGGAATTAAAGTCACTATGGCTTATGGTGACAATCTGCTAGTCAAGCAGCTATGTAAAAGCATATCCTGGAAAGCTCAAAGCTTACTACAACGTACCGGTTTCTTTGTTTTACCTTTAATGGGTGTGATATGGTGCTTAGCGCACAGTGACTATAGACATTAGGGCCTATTGTGTGGGATTTTGCTAATCTCACTATGAAATTTAAAGTGAAGAGTGATAGCTATAGGCTCCAGGATTTAGAAAGAAGAAAGGTACAAGTTGCGACTAAGAAGCAATTGGCTAAGATCAACTTGGTTTGCATGTTTAATGATGCTCACAGGGGTACAAAAAGCACTAACACTGCTCCATTAGTCTGAAGTTCAGAAGGAAGGTCTACCAAAGGAGTTGCAAAGACTATTATCTAAGTACTCAAACATTTGAGTCATTAAAGGGATTACCACCTGGAAGAGCTCATGACCATAAAATTCCCTCAAAAGATGAATATCAGGCTATGGGAATGAGACCTTACCATTCAGAAAAATGAGATTGAGAAACTTGTAGTAAAAATGAAGGATTCTGGCATTATTGAAGACAATATTAGTTCCTGTGCCTTTCTTGTGGTGCTGATCAAGAAAAAATATGGATCTTGGAGACTCTTTGTGGATTATTTTATAAGCAATTGAACAACATCACTATCAAAGATAAGTTTCCAAATCCTTTAGTAGAAGAGTTGCTGGATAAGCTTACAAGTGCTTGTTGGTTCTCCAAGTTGGATATTCGATCAAGTTATCATCAAATCAGGATTGAAGAGTCTAATATATATAAAACAGCTTTCCGGACACACTAGGGCCATTATGAATTTCTAATGATGCCTTTCAACCTTACTAATGCCCCTATCAACTTTCAGAGTTTCATAAAGAGCATATTCAAGCCTTATCTTAAAAAATTTGTCAGTCTTCTTCAATAATAATCTAGTGTATCCAAATATTTAGGAAAAACACTTGTTCTGTTTACAGCTGGTGTTTGAGTTGCCGAAGAGGAATAATTATTTGTGAAATTTTCTAAATGTAAATTTAGGCCGGCTAGGGTGGAGTAGTCAAGGCACATTATTAGTAAGGCTGGTGTTTCTATGAATGAAATTAAGGTACATTGTGTATTGGATGGGCCAGTTCCAACTTGATAATTGAAGGGATTTTTGGGATTGACGGTTATTATAAGGATTTATCTGAGGATATGATTCAATTGCTCAGCCACTGACAGCTCTTTTGAAGAAAAATGCTTTTGCATAAAGTGAGCCAGTAACAAAGGCATTTGAAAAATTAAAACAGGTTATGATTTCTGCGCTGTACTAGCTTTACTTGATTTCAATTCAGTTTTTGTTATGGAATCTGATGCTTCTAACTTGAATATTGGAGCTATTTTCAATCAGAGTGGGTCGGCAAACAGCCTACCATAGTAAGGCACTATCTCATCGACATCAGCTATTGTCTATCTATGAAAAGGAAATGCTAGTAATCTTAAAAGCAGTAAAAAAAATGGAGGACATCTACAAATTAAAAAATAAAAATAAAAATATTTTCTACAATCAATCACAGCTTTAGATTCTTCTAACGAAACTCTCCCTCAATATCAGAAGTTTTCTATTTTTATTACTGTAAAGTGTAACGTGGTACTACAATTAATTACTCCGGCATCAATGGGAGTAAATAACGCCAAATCCATTTGAAAAAGGCTAATAAAGACAGGCCTGAATAAAGAAAAATGACAAATGAATTCAAAAAAACAACTAATCTAAAATAGTAATATTCAAAATATAGTTTTGAATATAGACCAGCCGACCCATTTGATTTGACATCCATATGCTCCTACTTTATTTTCAATCATTGATGTTGAATCGTTATCATTTATCATAATTTTTATTTTTTTCATATAAAAACAATATTATATTATTGAAAAAAATCTATGTAAAATTTGAAATTTTTTAATTTTTTAAAATTATAAAATATATTATCTCATTATTTCATTAAAAAAAATAATACAATAACAATGAGATATTATTTCAAGTATATGATTTAGTATTCATGAATTTTACAAATTAAGTGGGTTTCATTTCATTCTTACTTTATTATTATTTTATCTTTTACTTATAAAAGAAGAAGATAAATGATGTGTTTAAACCAATAAACAAATCAAATTAGTAATCAACCAATCAATATATAATTTTAGATAAAACTTGAAGTTAGAGGTTAGAATGCATTTTTCTTACTATTAAGACAAAATTTCATTAATAAATAAATAATATTTTTAAATAGGTAAAAGTTAAAGATTAATTTATGTGATAATATATTTAAAAATATGTTATATTTTACATTTTAAGTGAATATTCTTATTAGTGGTCAAACTGTATTTAATAAAAAATTTATAATCATAAATATAATGTAATATTATATAAATATAAATATAGGATTTTAAAACAAAAAATTTAATCTTCTTTTAAAATTTTTATTAATTAATTTTAATAGAATTTATATAAGTAAATTGCATAAAAATTTACGTAAAACACCTATGATAAGCTAAGTTTTTGAAAAATTGAGTGAGTCAATTTACCCTACTATTTGTAAGTTGATATGCCACCGAAAACAATCATCATTGATATTGAAAAAACAAAAAATTTATTATAAAAAGGGTAAAATCCCTTTGGAAAAATGTGCACGTCTTTGTGCTGCTGCCATTCCCTGCATTTCTACTGACATTCGTCCCTCTTCTCGTCAGCTTGTTTGGGTTTGTTCTCCGCACCAAAACCACCAACTCTTTTTCTTGGCTATTTTATTTTTTATTTTGGCAGATGTGTTGGATACTTTTTGTTTGGTTCTGGCATACAATTAGAAAAAAAAAATAGGAATTTAATTCTTATCAACTTATTTTTCTTTGGTAATTGATTGGCGGTTTGATTTGGCATGTTTTTTGGATGGACATTTCTTTTTGCTATGAAATTTTATGTTATATTTTGGTGTGGTGGGTTTTATATTCCTAAAGATTATTAAAAATTAAGCTCTGATTATTTAAATTATTAAAAACTTTATTTAATATTATATTTTTAAAACTTTTCTTAAAATAATATTTAAATTATCTTTAATCAATGATTATTAATATCGATTATGATTTTTTTTTTGAAATTTATAATTTATGAATAGCTTCTTTTTAGATAGTATTAATTAGAACAAACCTAGAAAACTAAAATATGCCAACACATTACTTTTTTTTTTTTAATTTCAAGATACAAATATAATAAAGTAATGCATAAATCACTAAATAATCAAATTAATAAATTAATTAATTAACTAAATAATCAAATACACACAATGATATTACTTTAATCAATAAAGATTAAATGTTATGTTAAAACATGGTTAAGTTGGATTTTCGCTGTTAGTATTTTTATTGATAGTCTATTTGTATTGTGAGGCTGTTGCATGTCTAGTCTTGAAAAGCGTAATTTTATTTTCTTAAAAAAAAAAAAAAAACTAAAATACAGTAAACTAGGAATATTTTTCGGTTAATAGAATATGATAGGATCAAACAAAGTAATTGGCGGGCATAATAATAGGCAGTTAGGCTTAGCTGTCACTTAAGATTTTTGTTGGTTTTGTATTTTGAGGTTGGCATTGCCATAAATATGAATGTGAAAAGGAGTATTTGGGAGGGTCTAATGTCCTCGTCTACCTTTCTATAACCATCTCTTTCAGAGCAATGTATGGCGTAAAACTTGGGGGATTGCATTTGGGATTGGGCATGCCTGCTTGCACATCAGCTTTTGCAGGTTTTTTTTTTTATTATTATTAATGGCGTAAAACTTGGGGGATTGCATATGGGATTTGGCATGCCTGCTGGCACATCAGCTTTTGCAGTTTTTTTTTTTCTTTTTTAATAAAAAAACCGTGTTTTAAGAACAAATTATAAGATTTTAACTCTTAGAATGATTATATGAATAAGTAAAATTAAATTTGATAAAATTTTACATTTTTCTCGTGTAATTTATTACTATTACCCTTTCCAGTTATTTGTTAGCCCTTTCCACTTAAAAACACTTACTAGTACTAATCATTTACTGTTCACCTTTAATTTCTTTTCAAATACTTTATTAGTAGTTTTAAGCACTAATTATAGCTATAGAAATATTTCAGGTTTTGCTTAATGGAGGTTAGATTGTCATTGGGAGTGGATTCTAAGCAAAGACTTGTTTCAGATTAACCGAAAGAAAAATCCCTCAGTTCTTGCTCATCCAACAGTTCAAAAATATGGGTTAAACCAAGAATTGAATTGTCTTGGAATTGGAGTTGAAGATGGATAGGAGGAGTTGGCTATGGAGAAGAAAGTCTGCAGAGCAGAGTCCAGGTGAAACTGATAGTTCAGGAGGCTCCATTTCATCTCATTCTGAAAGATTCTCTGGTGAGCAGGTATATAATTTCTTTTTCTTTTTACTTTGTTTTTTTATCATTGGCCATTCCTTTGGAAATAGAATTTCCTGCATTTTGTTGCCTTTACTTTAAAAAAAAAAATTTTCTTCAATTGTGCTTAAATATATCTCTTGTTTGTATTTTGATGGATTTATATGAAAATCTTTTTGGGTCATTTTTGTTGTTGTAAATTGAATGATACCGAACCTGGTTTAACCAAAAATAACTCAAATTTGTTGCTTGCCCCTATGGATGGCCCTGTAGGGTGCCTATTTCAAAGCAATTATCTTTCTGTATTTTCGTTTAGGCAATCAGCTTACTTTTTGTCGAAAAATTTTCCTGGACGTTCGCTTTTCTTAAGATAATTTCTACATTTTTGTTACTTGGATTCAACTCATGATATATATATATATATATATATATATATATATTGCTACAATTTTGTATAGTATGTGCCAGGGAAATTTCACTCTTTATGTCTTTATGAGCATAGTTGTACTCAATTCTATATGAAGGCAATTTTTAAGAGCAACTAGACTGGAGCAATAGGGTTGCAAAAATATGCAGTTTTGATTGTCACTTGTCTTGGAGTTGGCATAAGTCTCAAGGAGAAAGGAGGAAGGAGTTTGGAGACTGAAAGATGGATAAGGATAGCTTATGTTGTTTTATTTACATTGAGTATCATTTAGTCATAATTTGAACAGAGCAGCTGTCTTAAACTAATTGTGGAGAAGGATGCTGGCGCGTTTCTAGCTGCAGCCTAAGGCTCTAAATAAGCACCTCCATTTAGTTGTTTTTAAGCTTTTAGTGCCCATTGAAAACAAGAAATGATCAAATAACAAGGCTAAACCAATCTAGACAGCAATGTGGTCTAAGTAAGTTAATGCTGGGAACATTTAGTTTTTGGATACAAAGTTTGAACACTTTGCTTGTTCCTTGAGTTTCATTTGCTCCAGGATATAACTTGTGAGACATTGCTTCTGATTTATGTCGGAAAGAGTGATGAGCCCTAAGTCATTGAAGACTTTGAATGCTTGAGAAGCTGAAATGACTTGGTTTGGGCACTCTAGAATGATTCCGGAATTCTTTATAAGCTTTGTAAAGCTAATTTAATACTCCTCACGTGTCTATTTGTCCTTTCTTAGTAAAAGAAATTTGCTATTGGATCTGTGAAGTCATAAGATCTGTCGATCACCTATACAGAGGAAAAGGGATTATAGATCACTCTGTTAGATCCTTGAAACTTTTTAGAAGGCTGTTTTTGAAATTTCCCCAGCCATAGATTATTATTTTTTATCTTTTCTTACACAAGGATGATCGACCAGAGTTTAGTTCCTTCTGAACTTCATGAAGGAAATGAATGATGGTTGAGGGGCATGCATTGAAGGTGAGCCAGAAAGTGCTCTCTGGATGATTCAGGCATGTGCTCATCTGTCACTGGTTTTATCTTATATTTTATAGTTTCTTTTATTTTCCAATAAATTCAAATGTCTTGGAGGTTATATATAGTTTATGTCTTCGTAATACGTTTTTTGATGACCTAGATAAGCTATACAAAAGGATCCTTGATTGTGGTCCTATGCTCTTGTCTTAAACTAATTTTCTTCTCAGATAATGATACTGGTGTGAGGCTGCTTTTATAGTTTTATGCTCCATTTGTATGTTTTTAGTTTCTGTTGGTTTGATCGGAGACAATCTGATATTTCTTTGTTGTCAAAGGCTAGCGCCACCCATGGTTCTCAATTACAGGAAGTCACATCAAAAGCCGTACCCATTGATGTAGAAGTTAATGATAATGTGAGGTCTCTAACGGAGAAATTGTCTGCTGCTCTTATGAACATCAGTGCCAAAGAAGACTTGGTAAAGCAGCATGCTAAAGTTACAGAAGAAGCTATCTCAGGTATCAATTTTGTCTTTTTGGCATTCAACCTAAAATGGAAATCCACAAGTGAAAAAATTTACTCAATATGAATGATGGTGCAAAAAATGGCCGCAAATTTATCTTTTATCTATTTATTGAAGAAGGTTAACCAATTAGCATTTTACCTTCTATTTCTTTTCATTGCCTATGATTTACTGATATACAGCTGAAAGGGGAATAAAAAGATAAAACTGGAGAAGACTAAAAGTCAAGAAAAACTTTGTTCTTTGATACTTTTGAGGGATGAAATGTTTATAGAATAAATAACTTTCTGGTGATATATGCATGTTGTGTGGTCAACTAATGAGAAATAGTCTATTTTCGGTGGCATTTTGTTCTTGGAAGCTTAGGGCCTTATCTTTTGTTTATATTATTTTGTTCTGAAAATCTGCTACAACAATGAAGTTAATTGTTTGCTTTTTTTTTTTCTTTTTGAAATCCGAAATTAGGCTGGGAGAAAGCTGAAAAGGATGTTTTGGCTTTGAAGCAACAGCTTGATGCTGCCATTAAGAAAAATGCAGCACTTGAAGATCGAGTTGGTCATCTTGATGGGGCACTCAAGGAATGCGTCAGACAACTTAGACAAGCAAGGGAAGAGCAAGAGCGGAAAATCCATGAAGCTGTTGCCAAGAAATGTCATGAATTGGAATCTTCTAAGTCAGAGCTTGAAAGTCAGCTTCTGGACCTCAAGGCTCAACTTCAAACCACAAAAAGTGAGACTGCTGCCTCAGTTGATCCTGATCTTCATCTGAATCTCAAGGCATTTGAGAAAGAAAATTCAGCCCTCAAACTTAAGCTCCTTTCTCAAGCTGAGGAGCTAGAACTTAGGATTATTGAGAGGGACCTGAGCAACCAAGCAGCTGAAACTGTCAGCAAACAACATTTGGATAGCATAAAGAAGTTGGCTAAGCTTGAAGCTGAGTGCCGCAGGCTAAAAGCCATTGCTCGTAAAGCATCCCCTGCTAATGATCAGAAATCTTATGCTGCCTCCTCAATTTGTGTTGAATCTTTTACAGATAGTCAATCAGACAGTGGGGAGAGGCTACTTGCAGTTGAAAATGATATGCGCAAGATGAACGGGTTGGAGATGAATGAATATGAGACAAGCCGCTCAGATTCATGGGCATCTGCCCTAATTACAGAACTTGATCAATTTAGGAATGAGAAGGCTGTTGGAAGAAACATCATGGCCCCTTCAGTAGAATTCAATCTCATGGATGATTTTCTTGAAATGGAAAGGCTTGCAGCTTTGCCTGATACAGAAAATGGAAGTGGTTTTAATGAGGCTGGTCCTTTATCTGATCAAACCAGTGCAGTTGAAAACCCATTAAAGGCTGAACTTGAAACTTTTATTCAACGGATTGCTGAACTAGAGGAAAAGCTAGCAATGACTGAAGCAGAAAAGTTGGAATTGCAGATGGCTATCACTGAAACTCAAAAGCAGCTTAAAACATTGCAGAATCAACTAAGGGAAGCAGAGACAAAGTTGGAAGATGTGCAAACTAAATTAGCTCTTGCTGACAACTCAAAGCAAGCTGCAGAGATGGAAGTAAAGGTTGCAAACATGAATAGAGAAGTGGTGGAATCAAGACTTAGAGATGCTGAAATTGAAATAAAGACTTTAACGTCCAAAGTTACTTCTTTAGAAGAAGAGGTAGAAAAGGAGAAAGCATTATTTGCTGAAAGCATGAACAAGTGCAAAGAATTGGAGGATGAACTTTCAAAATTGAAATGTGAAGCCAAGCTCCGACATGAGGTAGAGCTCCAGCATGTGGCCAGTTATAATGAAGAGCTGAAGGTGCAGCAGGTCAGTTATGTAGTATGTTTATTTTAATTGTAGACATTGTTCAGAATGCATCGAAAGGAGAAACCAATATGCAAATGTTAATTCAAATGGAAACTGCATCACTTCAGTCTATTTTGTAAGTTGGCATGTTTCCATCCAGAATGTACTTCCATCTAGAAGAACAAGTACTAAGTGAGCACGGCAGCATGCATATTTTAGCATCCTGTTTGATGCAGGATGCACAATTGAATGCTTTAAAATGACTTTGGGATTCTGGAGGTTTAAAATTCTGCATGTTTTGACTTGAAAAACCTACTTGAGTTTTGCTATTTGTCATGTGGGTTTTATATACTGCCTTAATTTACTAAGCTTTGCATTACTTTTAGCTAAATTCCCCATTTGCGCTGACAATCAATTCTTATATGTGCAAAATGCCCTTTTAATTCTCCCAGAACCACGGACGTGCTCATTGAAGGAAATTTTTTTCATCTTTTATTTTTCTTTCTGTGGCTAGTCATTTGATTTGATTTTCCACTTTGTCAAAAATATCAAAACTTGCTTTTTCCAATAGAATCAAGACAACTAATTTCAAAATGCCAGTCAAATATTCATTGACGTCCTGTTTGAGAACATAATCTGCTGTTTATATTTGGTGAGTGTAAAACATTTCTGGGAATTATGAGAAACAAAGCACATTACCCTAATAGAAAATGCCAGTCAATGTACAACAACATTACAGTGTGTAAATTCCTGCTAGAGTACTGGAGAGTACCAACTTCAAGTAATGGTTTTTGGTGTAGGCTACAAAATAAACTGACATGGGATGTGACATAGGGTTAATGAGGAGTACATTTTATTAATGCAAAAATTGTTCAAAGAGTAATTTCTTCCATGTATGAGATGATTGTCAATTGACATAATCATTTCGCAAGATTTTGGTTTGGTGGATGCAGTAAAATTAGATTTTTTTTTCTTCTATATATAACTGCATGTCTTGTTAGTTGTAATCTTATAAACATGTTATTGGTTATATACAGGACAAGGAGCTAGCAATTGCTGCCAGTAAACTTGCAGAGTGCCAGAAGACAATTGCTTCTCTCGGCCAGCAGTTGAAATCTCTTGCTACACTGGAAGATTTCCTGATTGACTCTGATAAGCCGCTGGAGCCTGTGGATGGAGGATTACTCTTTCCCAGAAACGGTGAGGAACAACTGAAACTAGGTTCTACTGATATGGATTTTTCAAAAAGAGGTTCTGAGTCTTCTAAAATAGTTGGTGAGTATGTTAAATATTCAGAGAATGGCAATGATATGGAGTCAACATTACCACTTAAACCAGTCATTGGCTCAGACAAAACCCGAACTGGTTTCAAGAAAACTTTCCCACCAAGTAGAAGTGGGAAACAGGTTTGAGTATTTATTCTCAGTCATATTGTGATGAATGTAGCTGCTGTTGCAAAGATTGGAGCTGGCACTACAAGGAATGAAGCACGTAAGCTGGCTGGCCAGGGGTGCTGTGCCCTTGGCTGACCAAAGGCGCTATGCTAGAGAGCCAAAAGTAACAGATTCTAGAAGAAAGAAAAGGACAAACATAGCTGGCAAGACCGTTGGAATGAGGGTGACAGTTCAGAGGCGATATATTAGGAAGTTAGTTATAATTGTACTGAAGGTTGTTAATAGTCTTATGAATAAATCCTTGTAATTAGTGAATTGGCGTTTGGCCTATATATGGATCACGTTGTAAGGAATCTGGCATGAAATGAAACATTTGTTTTTAGACCAAAATCATCGACCTGAAAACTTAAGAATCAACAGGTGTATCTAAGTACATGATTGATTACTCAGGACGAAAAGAAATTATGGGAAGAAAATAGAGTATACAAACATAGCATTCTTTTCCATGCAATTTAAGTTTCATACTTCATTTCTAACTGAACTTTTGGCTCTAATTACTTCTTGGCTATCTCATGAATAAGAATCAAAATTTACAAAAATAGCTTTCAGTATCTGGAAGGATTGAATCTCAATGACTTGAGGAGCATATGATTGGAAACAATTCAAAGGTCTGAGGCACGAGTTGAAGCAATGTGGGAAATTTATAGGGATGCATACACCTAGTTCAATTCTAGGATTTTATTAATCTCTTGTCAGGAACATGATTTGATTATAGCATCTTTTTGGAATATGATGACCATGGACGGTTATATCTTTGGAATCGGTCCCCTGAAAACATAGCTATTTCAACTGATTCAAAGTTAAATCCTACATGTTGAGCAGCCTCGTTAACCTCTCCCCCTTAGGCCCCAAAAAAGAAAAAGTCCTTACCTGAAATTATTTTTGAATCTAATCATCTTTTTATAATAATGCTATTATATTATCACTTTAAGATACCTTAGACAGCCAAGTGTGGTGCCTAACCTAGCCTTATTATCAGAACATCATTCAGGACAATTACTTTGTCAATAACCAGAAAGAAATATAGCGCAGTTGCTTTTCGTGGAGGAAAAGTCAACTCACTTACTTTTACTGTTTTATAAAAAAATTTGAACACTCTAGCCATACGAGGTTCTATGGTGTAGTGGTTAGCACTCTGGACTTTGAATCCAGCGACCTGGGTTCGACTCCCGGTAGGACCTGGCAAATCTTTCATTTTGTATGTTTTAATTTTTTGTTATTCCCGGGAAAGAGAATTACCTACCGAGCTTTAAAAATCAAATTTTGTTATTATTTTTAAAGAAACTTCAACTGTCAGAGTTGCTTTTCTTTTTTTTTTTTATGATTGTTTCATTTTTAACTTTAAAGCATTTATCTTGCTATTTACATAAATCCAATAACTTGATTTAATATAAATCTAGATTCACTCTTACATGTGCTTATTTTTGAAATTATCCTTTAGATTTTTGGACAACTTGACAAAAAATTTAATAATATGTATATTCATATCATATAAAACATTAAAAATTCATACATTCATAATATATTTTATACAAAAATTATATGTCACCATTTATATAACTCAAATAACACTGTTATTTTGTTATTATTAAACCCATATACAAGTTTTACTAAAATTTTAAATCGTATCAAATTTTTTTTTATATCATGTCCATATCTTATTTTAAATAGTTAAATCTATCTACGAGTAAAGCTACCATTTCCCTTTTATTATTAGATTGTAAATTGTAGTTTAATTTCCTAATTCTAAACTGAAGAAAAATTCATTCTTGGGATCCAACAAGTAGTTCTCCATATTTCAAGTGGAAACACACAAACTTATTTAGCATGTCATGTGGAACTTGTTTATCCTAACTCTTAATTATGTCTACAAAATTTAGGTCTAAGAACTATATTCAGGTAGCTTTCCACAGTCATTGCACCTTATAATATTAAGACGCAAAACCAAGTTCCACACGAACCTCAACTCCATCTCAACTACTTTTAACAGACACATCTGAACCTATTAAGTCTGTTTATTGATATGAATGACCTGATACAAACTTTCAGCAGCTAATGATTTATGACATATCTCAACGATGGCAACACCTCCCAACTCCTACAAAATTACACAAAAAATACTGTGTATCGCCATATGCCAAGGAAAGTCAGTTGTAGAAGGTCATTCAATTAGGAGAAGAAGCTATGAAAGCTCCTAATAATTTTGATGTCTGATTACCCCCACAAGAATCTTGTTGGCTCCTAGCCTGAGCTGCTCAATTCTTATGAAGTAGATCATAGAAAACCTTTGGCTTTCTATAGTCTGAGATGCACAAGACCTGAAACCAAAAAATGATTTTACGTATCAGCCATAATTTATAAATAAGTTACCTCAAACACATAAAAAAAGATAAATTCCCAGATTCTACATTTTAGACCCAGAATTAGAAAATTTTTCTCTGGTGTTGGATAGCATCATTTCTATAATGCCTTGAATATGAAAACTCAAATTAGTCCAATTTATAATATATTTTTAAGAGTTTAAAAAAAAAAAAAGCCTGACACAGGAATCAGAGCTACAAGTATATATAAATTATCATACCATTTGTCATTTTCCCATTTTGAATTCAAAGTAGATACCGGAATAAGGAGGGGAATAGAGGGGTGTAGGATGTGAAAGAAGAAACAAAAAGCAACTACATTCATAGAAGCGAGCGGCCTACCTGCATTGCAAATGCTATATGCATTAATGTGGCTTCTGACCATGGCTTCCCTATAAATTGAAGGCCAATTGGCAAACCTGCTTTGTCATAACCAACCTATCAAGCAGGCAAGGAGAATTGATATTAGTATAATTGTACTGTTTGAATGAAGGTAATAGCCACTAACTAACTAGCAACATAAAATTATATAGATGAGGAATAAGTTTGTACAGGAACAGTCACAGCGGGTAGTCCCAAAAAGTTTCCCGCTATCTGATATCGAATAAGGGCAACTGAAACCATGACAAAATGGTCAAATTCCATTATGCAATACCTTCCCTTTACTAACATGATTGAACTGATAAAAAGCATGAAGATTTAAACATAAATGCACACTGAAAAATCGAGTTAAAATTCATACCTCCATTTATGCTGTTAAGTTCACCAGTCTTTAGAGCATCCTCAAATATGGAGTATGCAGTCATACTGTTTTGACAAAAACTTACTAAACTTAGACATTGTAGGACTAGGTCTTGGAAAGGGAAGGTTAAGTAAAAGACTAAACGAGCCACTGACAATTTTATCATACAGCCTTGGGAAAAAAAAAAGCTACTTTTTCTGCTAAAATAGATGCAAGCTGTTGCAGTAAAAAAGAATATACCCTGTTGTTGGAGCAACTATGACATCTGCCTTGGCAAATATATTGTTATGAATCTGCATCTGGCGGTTCCTGCATATGAGTAGTCAAGCTAAATTATCATAGCAAGTTTGAGAATCTAAAATCATAACAGAATCCTCTAATTTCAAGCATGCCTACAGAGTACTGACCACTAATAAGTAGACTTTAGAAAATACTTTGTTAAATTTCACTTGTTACTTCTAGAAATGGTTTCTATTTTCACAAGTAAATAAACTTTGAGCTCCTGAGAAAATAGAAGCAAATGATGGAATTGAAAACAACAGTAGCATATCATTAACAATCATTTATTTTATAAGTGACAACATACAGAAAAGTAAATATTGGCTAAAGCTTACCTCATTTTCTGGGCCTTCATATACTCTTTGCTGTGGAAAGAACCACATACCCTAAGTGCTACTCTTACATCCCATCCTATTTCTGCAAAATCCCTATTTCAACATGTTTATATTGTCAGATATGAACTCTTAAATCGTGGACAAAATGAACATAAGACCATAATATGGGGATTGAAGTCTGGAAGATAACATACAGCTTTTCCAGATGAGAACTCAGTGAAGTGCTGCATTCAGAACCAATGGTCACATAATGTGCCAGGAACATCGCTTGTATATCTGGTATAGTAACCTCTACAGTCTTGTGAATAATATATCTTTGCAGATTAGTGAGCAATCACTAGTGTTTTGTGAATAATTTTGTTACAATCATCTTAAATTGAATTTATTGTATTTTATACCAATGCTTTTTATTTCTCAGAATGTTTACCCTCTAATTAGGTTCTACCAACAGTGAAGTTGATTGTTAAAATACTCTATATGCAACAAATTATAATATCAAAATATGGGTAGTTATTGCTTAAAAACAACATAAATTGCTAATACCTTCCACTTGTAATGCTGACAAAGCAAGTTCAGAGCATTGGAGCAGCATATTCTGATTTCATCACTGCAATCATTGAACCACTAATTGAGCCAATTAGTGGTCCAAATATAGAATGACAGGAATTAGAAATCTCATCTTTTTAAGCTATAATTGATGATAAAACAGAACTTAAATTAATTGATAATAATTAAATCACTGACCTCTCCATATTTAGCAAACTTGATGTTTGATATTGGATTTGTTGAGTTCAGCAGCGGAAAATGCACTTTGGGCTGGAAGGTATCCAGGTGCCAAATAAAAAAAATAAAAAAGCAAAAGTTGTCCAACTTAGATTGGCTCACAAAAATACTCTATGATTCAACAGTGAAGAAAAGATAAAGCAAGGCCATTATTAGGAACCAAGCCAACAAAGGTTATTCCTACCTTCCTAGATGTGGGAAAGCCCATGGTTCCAGCTGCATTATTTAATTAATTTGTTATTTTAGGAAATCTGTAAATATTTATATTCTGATTTGTATTTTTAGAATTAAGGATAGACAATCCCTCAATCATACAAATCAGTTTTAGGCAGATTTAGTTTCCTATCATCTCTCAACAGCAGCTGTATGTAGGCCTCAGGGCTTGTATCATTCAAGTAAGTTTTTTCTTCAACACAATACTTTGATTTTACACATGGTATCAAAACCTTAGGCTCTTCTTGGGAATCAAAAATTTTTTTTCAGCCTTCTTAGCAGTTTTTCTCCCCCAGCCTTTATTGCCAAAATTAGTTTCTGTTTATCTCTTCATCCTTATGTTCATCCTTAATTCTTGTTTTAGTCCCAAGAAAAATAACCATGTCAGAGATAATAGAGGCTACCATTACCACCCATTTCAAGGAGGTAATAACTGGTCAAACCACAGGAGAATTTGATCAAGTCAAAGTTCAAATTTCGGAAAAAAAGGATCCGCCCTCTTTGAATGAGGCTATCTCCATGGCTAGAGCAAAAAAGAGCAGAGGGAGCATGATGCTTTAAAACCTGAATGAGGAAGGATCCGCTATGGTATCTAATGGAGGAACAACCGAAGTCTGAAACTGGAACAGCCACCAATTAGTGAGAAAGGGAGAGTTGATTTGCCTAAAACTTCAATCCATGACAAGTTGACAACAGGGACAATCATGACAATCTTTGGTGCACTTGCTGAAAATTAAACGGAAAACCTCCAACTTCAAGTAGAGAATGGGGTTATAAAGGAGGACATCCAAGAAATCAAAGACAAGTTCACATGACTACAACACAGCCAAGCAAGAAGAAGTCTCAGAAACAAGGAGAGTTTGACAAAGAAAAGATTGAGAAATTGAGAAACCTATTAGGAACCATAGAAAATCCTATTGGTGCCTACTCCTTGGCACTTAGCTAAGTTCTTTGGTTCTCAAGGATTAAATGTCTAAGATAAGTCTATTATGAATTCTTGGATCAATGACTCAAGAGCTACATACCAGATCACACACTCCTCACAAAAGTTTAGTACATATACCTTGTGTCCTAATAATTGAAAATTTGTTGTTGCAGATGGTTTACTTACCACAATGGCAGGTTCAGGAGTTCAAATTAATCCCCCATTTGTTCTTAAAAATGTTCTTCATGTTCCTAGATTGTCCACTAATCTTGTGTCCATTCTTCAAAGGGAGACTTCATTCGTGGAAAATAAGAATAAAGACTTCTTTTTGCTTGTCCTCCCCTTCACCATATAAACCCACTACTTCTTCTGAGTCTAAGTCAAACACTAAATCTGTGTCTCTATCTCATCACAATCTAGAAATTTGTTCTCCCATTCCCATTTCAAACAAAAAACTGTGACTAAGGATAGGACTGTACTTGATTCTATTAGGAACTTACAAGTTACTCAAGGAGAAAAGTTCTTGGTCCCTAACTAATGCAAGTCTAAGAACCTAATCCTAACTATGGAAACGAGGTAACTACATTTTTCAACTCTATTCCTAAAAAGGGCATGAATCTCTTAAATCTAAAAGTAGTGCTCATGATTTGCCTATTGACACTAGAAAAGGAACCAAAGAATGTACTAAACATCTACCATACCCAATCTCTCATTTTGTGTCATTTGAAACATTCTCATCATCCCACAAAATTTTTCTTGAAAGCATAAACACTATTTCTATTCCAATTACATTATCCAAGACATTATCCAATGAGAAATGGAGGCAAGCTATGAAAATATAAATGTAAGCCTTAGAAAACAATAAGGCATGAGAATTAGTAGTTTCGTAGAAAACAATAAAGAAAAAGTCCAGTTGGGTGTAAATGGCTTTTCATTGTAAAGTACAAGGTAGATGGTAATCTTGAGAGGTATACAGCTAGTTTGGTGGCTAAGAGCTACACTTAAACTTATGGAGTAGATTATAAAGAAACTTTTGCACCAGTTGCCAAGATAAATACAATTAGGATTTTGTTATCTTTAGCTACAAATTACAACTGGCATCTTCAACAATTTTATGTGAAGAATAGACTTGGCGATTCATATATTCATATTGTATAAAATATTGAAATTCATGTATTCATGCCGTGTTTTACATGAAAATTGCGTGTCATAATTCGTGTTAACACGAAAACATGAAACATTTTTTTTTTTGGTTAAACCCATATATAGTTATTGCTAAAATTTTAAACCATGTCACATTCATGTCCTTTATTTGTATCATGTTCATGTTGTGTCACCATATTGTCTTTTAGATTGCCAAGTCCAGTGAAGAATAGTTTTTTCCATGGAGATTTGGAAAATGAGATATATGTAAAGGTTCCACCAAGATTTGGGGGTAATCTAGAAGCAAACAAGGTATGCAAGACCTTATATGCCAAAAGTAGTGCTAGCAACAGGATATAAGCAATCAAGGAGATCACACACTATTAATCAAGCACTCAAATTCAAGCAAAATCACAATTCTTTAGGTGTATGTTGATAATATTATTGTAATAGAAGATTATGTGAAAAAAAGAAGCCCTAAAACAATGTTTAGCAAGAGATTTAAGATAAAAGAGCTAGGGAGTTTGAAGTACTTTCTAGGGTTTGAGGTTGCTCGCTCACAAGTCATGACAGGGTATTTTTCTCTCACAACAAAAGTATGTTATGGATCTTTCACATACAAGACCAAATATAATGCATGCTATGAGTATGACAAGCCAATTTATGTATAGTCCTAAAGAAATGCACCTACAGGCTATCTACTGTATACTACACTACCTGAAGGCCAATCTTTGAGAGGAATCTTGTTCAAAAGAAATACAGGGCTCGTACTGGAAGCATATACAGAAGCTGATTACACAAGTTCAATGATTGACAAAAGGTTTACCTCCGGGCTACCACACTTTCCTAGGTGGGAATCTTGGGACTTGGAAAAGTAATAAATAGAAGGTGATGACAAAATCAAGTGCTAAAGTAGAGTTTAGAGCTATAGCATAAGGAAACTATGAGTTACTATGGTTAAAGATCATTCTAGAAGACCTGAAGATTAAGCGGGACAAGCCAATGAGATTCTATTATAATAACATATCTACATACAACATTGCACACAACCTTGTCTAACATGACAAAATTGTAGATACCCCATTTTATCCGAAAATTTTTTCAGGTTTCAAATTTTGATTTAATTGCAATTGGATCTTAATACAAAAATGAATTTTAGGCCTAAGGATTAAAAGCCCAAAAATTCCAATTTTGATTTTTAATTTTAATTTTAATTTTTGATTTTAATATGTTGGTCAAAAAGTCAAAAAAAAAAAAAAACCAGGAAACCAGAAAAGAAAATGTGTGATTTTGCAGGGAAAAAATCTTGGATTCAATTCAACTCTTTGATTTTATCCTAGATTTTAACTTTAATGGTTAAATAATTTTTACAATACGAGGACATCAATCTAACGCAAAAAGGAAAGAGCATTCAAAGAAATCTAGAATTGAATCTTGAAAGATTTGATTCTTTAATAATTTCCCACAAACTTTGGGATTTAAGTCTCTATAAAAGGAATTCATGAGCAGCTCAATTGGGGGAGGTCTCACAACAATTCATTTTAAAATCAAAAAGAGGTCATTGAAAAAAGAGAATTTGGGCAAAGTTTTGAATCCAACAAAGAAACAATCAAGCAAAAAATTTGCAAGAAGATTCGGTTGGAGTTTTTAGAAGGAAAGCTAAGATTTATAATAAGAAGCATAAGTTTTTGAAAGCTGAAAAGTTGTTTGAAATCCGTAATCCATTGAGGTAAAGTTTGCTTTCTTTTTCTTTTTATTTTTCTATAACTTTTATAATATTTAATTGTTTATTTTTATTTTTATATTTATTGCATGGAATTTATTTTTGCAAGAATTTGCATGACTAATATTATATTTGTATGATTAATATTATATTTGTATGATAATTTATTATGACTAATATATTTGCATGAATTTAATTTGCTTGCATAAATTACTTAATTGCATGATTTATTAATTCAATTGCATGATTATTAATATATTTATTTGAACGACTACCTAATATATTTATGTGTAATTCCATAATTTATTAATTTAATTGCATGATTATTGATATGTTTATTTGCACATGATTACTAATATATTATTTGTATGATTACCTAATATATTTGTGTGTGATTGCATGTTATTAATATATTTATTTGCATGATTATTAATATATTTATTTGTATGATTTATAAATATATTTGCATAGTCATTAATATATTTATTTGTGATTTATTTGCATGGTAATTATATTATTGCATTATAATTAATATATTTGTATGATATTTTGCCATGATTTTGGTATGACTGCATGACTATTTTTGCATAAATTTTTTGCATGACTTATTGCATGATATTTTTGGTATGATTCATTATATATTTGCATGATTGCATGATTTGATTATGATATTTTTTATAGAAATTTTGTATGACCATGTGTAAATAAATAAAAACAATTGGAATTAATTTATTTGCATGATAAAAATCATCTTTGATTAAAGCTTAGGTAAGATAAGATATAATTAATGCGGTACCAATTTTGGACGTAAAGGGGTGTATTACCTTCCTTGCACGTACTCAACTCCCAAACCTTAGTTCTATTGAAGTGGACCAGAACTATTTTTTTTAGGGATCCTTCGTTTAGGCTTAGAATATAGATTCATATAGATGGCCAAACACTCCTAAATAAAAAATATTGGTCGTAACTCCATAGTTTTTGTGTGTAATGGATAGGTTATCAAACATAAACATTATGACAAAGACAGAACACATTGAAGTAGGGAGGCAATTCATAAAGGAGAAACTAAATAGTTGGTTAATTTAACACCGTTATGTCTCAACTAAGTGTCAACTAGCAAATGCGTTGACTAAAGGTCTCAATAATGCAACATTTCAATAAATTATTTCCAAGCTAGGAATGGAAAACAACCTTTCACCAGCTTGAGGGGGAGTGAGGGAAAACAGACCATTCCCATTGTTTAATTAATTTGTTATTGAAGGAAACATGTAAATATAAGTACTCATACAATTAACGATAGACAATCCCTCAATCATAAGTAGATTTAGTTTCCTATTTTATCTTAACAACAGTTTTACATAGTCCTTAGGGCTTTTATTATTCAAGTTTTTTCTTCAATACAATACTCTGATTTTCCACACTAGAGCTTCAAGTCATTCAATAAAGGATGATCTGATAAAGTCGATCATCCTTCAGCATTTTATGATAGTTTCCTTATTTCTTGCATAAAGGGGAAAAAAAGGTAAAAAACAAAATGCTTTGTTTCTACTATTTCTGTGAGCTCAACCAAAGAATTTATTCTCTAGTTTTCAATTTCGAAAATGTTATCTACTCTTAATATCAAAATTAGAAAAAAAAAAAAAAAAGAAGGAAAATATGCTTGTATTAAAAACTGGTTTGGTACAAAAATTGATATCATAATCAGCTTTCTCTTAAAAGGGAGATGATGTGCATTTAAAAATAAATAAATACCTGACATTTTTAGTGATCCTACAAAACTGGTACTTACAGGTAAAGTGGCTGGCTCATGTGATGGAAGCTGGCCACTAATAGCAGCATAACTGAAACCAGAAAACGAATCTGAGTCATACCTACAACTAACAAAGAAACCTATAAAAGTCAAGGAAATGGATTGATAAAATGCAGAGAATGATTACACGATAAATGCATCCTCTAAGGTGCCTGCTAGTATTCCAACCATCCCCAGTGTCCAGTTCAGAGGAAGAACACTGGAAACAGAAAATATATTTTCAGGTATCGTCTGAATTTTAGGTATAATGAAACTTATAGAATTATTTTACCTAAATGAGTTCTCACCCTGCATGGGGTATGCACCCAAAAGTTGGTTTGAACCCAACAACACCACAAAGGGAAGCAGGCATCCGCACAGATCCTACACAGAAACCATTGATGAAGTACATTGCTCCTTTAAACTTATTCACATGCTACAATGTTGTACAGAATCAGCCAGCAATTTTTTTTCTTTTTTCTTTTGAAATATTAATGAACATACAATTTCTTAGAGAGTGATAAATAAAGACGCTTGTGCATATCTTCTCAACATATAGGAATGAAATAATTGTTCCTCCCAGTAGGCTTTTGTAATATTGATGAAGTACACCTGTGACATGTCGCAGGCTGAATAGCATCACCCAAAAACATGATGAATCCCACATGCTTCTTCCATGTTGGAGGTAGCAATGCTATCCATCTTAGTATTATTCATGCACTAACTTATAATGAAAATTTTAGTCAAAAAAATAATACTATCTATTTAAACTTCCTTCTGAAGTTATCCTAATGCTAAATATGATTTAGTCAGAACATTGTACTTAGTTTTTTCAACAACATTTGGTGGTTTTTTCAGTGAAGGTTGACAAATTTTACCTCCCCCATCCACACCAAGGGCAACGGGGCATAATCCTGCAGATACTACTGCAGCAGATCCACTAGAAGAACCGCCAGTGATTTTGTTGGGATCATAGGGATTTCTAACAGTCCTGCAGCAATCACAAAATGAACACACTAACATCTTTAATGTTTTTTAATGGAAAGAACTTAGACAAGATAAAGGAGAGTTTGTGTTATTTAGTGAAGTTGGTTGCCTGTAAATTAATTCATAATTAAGACTTTATATGGATAAAATGGAAAATAAATTCAAGCAGAATATCATTGTATTTAAACATGGCATTTTTGGTTTATGGAAGGGAAAGACAACAGCAAATTCTCACCCATAGTGGGGATTTATCCCACTTACTCCAGCTCCAAGCTCATGCATATTAGTCTTTCCAACAATTATGGCACCACAGGCTCTGAGGCGCATAACACAGCATGCATCACCTGTGCAAGGTCTAAACTTGGGCAGCCACTTTGTACCTCCTAGAAGAATCAAAAGCAAGATAGGGGCAAAGAATACTAGCAAGAAAAGAAAATTGATGTGCATAAAAAATATGGCAAGTGGAGAACTTAGGAGACCTGTAGTTGGATAAGGAGAACAATCTATTTCATCCTTGATAGCAATCGGGACTCCATCTAGAGCAGATATTGGATGCCCTGGAGAAGAGAACAATGAGATCTGTACAAGTGTCTAGACGATATTGACAAAAGGATGTTATCAATCAAAAGGATTCTACGTAAAAATGGAAGTCCGTGTTTGCTAACTTTGGAAATCAACTGTTAACTTGTTTTCACTTAGATCGTGGCCTAGGATTTAGAAAATGGAGCATCATGGAGAATTCTTATGTCCTTATGGTTCAGGAGAATGGCTGAGACAGTACAAAAGCACATTAGAATGTGTAAATTGTGATTTAATTACACTAAAAAAGTTACCTCTTTCATACCGAAGAGTTGACTCTGTCGCTTGCCTTAGGATATCTTCAGCATCATAGTTAATGAAGAAGGACATTAGCAAAGGAGGACTGGAAGATTCACACACCGCATCTATAAACTGTTCTGCAACCTGAAAAATTGAAATTTGATTTCCGTGCCATGGTAAACTAAAAATTATGGATACAAACTAGTTAAAACGTCTCAAAATTCATTCTTCAGGTGAAAATGTAAGCACACATAATAAATGGGAAATCAGCAATATGCCATAAACTAAATAGACAAGAATGATACCCTCTTTGGAGTTATTTCTCCAGAACTGTAGGCTCTTGAATAATCCGCTATTGTCCAGCGTCGGAAGCAACTGGATTTTAAATCATCTAGTGACTTCTCCAAGGTTACAGGAAGGCATTTTATTGCCTGTTGAACTCGTTCTGGTGGAGATGCATCAGAGTCAATTTGTTTGACTTCTTGTTCATTAAGGTCTGTGTTAATGCAATCAAATTAGACAAAAGACAAGAAGTACCTATTCGAAAGGATAATGCATTTTGATTTCTTGACATGAAGGTGTGAGCTATGTTTAAATGATTTAAGCAGAAGCTTAAAAAACTACTAGCAAAAAAGCAGCAGAAATATACATGACCTATCCCATTCTCAAAACACATCCCCTAAGCAAGATGCACATTTCTTTTCCCCAGTTATTGAGACCTACCTCTACCTGCAATTATGTAGCCCAAGCACTTGACAATGTTATGAACATTCTTAAGCTTGTCTCTCACAGTTCACTCAATGAAGCATTACAAGTTCATCAAACACCTTTGGCACATAAGAAACTTCCAGCATCTAGAATCCAATTGGATGTAATATAAAAAGATAGTATCCTACATTTCTTCCATGTTGGTTTCTCATATTTGGAGGAATTAGGATATAGACTAGTGGCCTCAAGCCTTTGCAAATGAAAGTGATAGAAATTTCATAGATATTTTAATGGCAGCAAATATTAAGATGCAATGTTTATCTAGTTTTAAAATGCTTCCGTAACCTGTTATGTACCCAAAAAAATGCTTCCATAACCTAATTTTACTCTAGACATAGACAGAAGTCCAATTTTATTTGGGTGTTGAAGATGAACTATCTGTTGTATCAAAAAATAGTAATCTCAAGCATATGAATTGCAAAAAGTATCTAGCGCATGCATACCAACAAAAGGATGCAAGGGAACAAACATAGGTGGCTCTTCCAGCATTGCGTTTGTAACAAGCTGCTCAAGGGAACACATAGTCAGTAAGAAATTAACAATAAATAGCAGACAAGCAACCATGTCCATTATAAACTTGATTTGGTTTTCATGGAGCAAAGATAAAGTTTCTTAGTTTCAAAGATGACAGAATAACGAAAGGCACTCCCACTGTAGTGTTTGTGGCCAAATGGTTAGTCTTCCATTTGACCAAAGGTTTAATGATATCTTACAAGTGTATATTCTGCTCTTGTTTCTTTTAAGATGAATGCCCTGTTTGTAGCAGAGCCTGCTCAGAATATTAATTAAACTAAACATCAATGTCTGGTTTCTACTCAATTGTTTCATTCAAATTTAAGAGTGCTGGTTTTTGGATAAATATTGTCAAAATGATTTCATTTACCAAAAAAAAAAAAAAAGAAGTGAGTGCATTACCAACCCTCAAAGAATAGTGCATAGATTTATCCTATTGATAATCTGCATGAATTTTGAAAATCTGTTATTAAGTTTGATAAACTAGGACTTATATCTAATATATTAACTGAAAAGAACTTTTCCTGGAGACATTTTGAAGAATTTGAAATAATGGATTTGTTTAGCCTGTAAAGAAGCTGAAAGACCATGAGATGCTTTGCCTGGCCGGAATTCAGATGATAACCATGACGATTCTTGCCCGACAAGCGACATAATTTTCATGCTAGTTCATAACAAAAATCTTACTTGCCCAAACTTTAGGGGAGAAACTATCACTTGTCTCATTAAACTAAAAACAGCTGTATACTGTTACAACTCGAGACTTCTTCCTAGACGTCTCAGCCTCAGTTTTGAATCTTGGAAGGGAATGGAAGGGTTCTGTAGAAAAAGAGTCAAGCCGAATGGACTTTCATATGTACCAATAAACAAAAAAGCAGACAGAGTTGTCTATGATTGGGGCTACTCGCCCAACTCATGAGCGTAGTTCAACTCGAGTTGGACATTAGACACAAATTTTTTGGCTCAAACTAGTTGTCTCAACCTGAAATATTATTATATTAATAAAAATTATTTGAAAAAAAAAATAGGAGCTTTTTGGGAAAACCTACAAATAATAGAAAACATTTTCCATTGAGTTATCCAACAACATGAAATCTCTACTTTTTAAAAAAAATAACATATTTCTAAAAGTATTTTATGTAAAGCTTATTATGTTTTTGTAATTGAGGTTGTCAAGATTTGATCATGAGTCACTAAGAGTCCAGCACATTACTAATAAACCATTCCGTTATTGGCTATGTAAAGTTCATTTCAGTAGCCTAAATCTTACAGTTTTTGGGAATTTTTTTCTTTTTTTTTTCAATTTTCAAAGCACTGTTTTTAATCAAACAAAATGGTAAATTATAGGTTTATCAAGTACAAATGAGAAATGGGTCATGTTAATTTCATTGTGAAACTGAGGAATTGATGGCATACCTTCTTCAAAAAGAAAATTAAGCAAATAAGAGTGTACCTTGTGCATTTGATAGTTCCTCTTCAAAATGTACAACAACAACGCTCCAATGATCCTTGTCTCCAGGAACCAGGCAAAGATCTTAAGCAGAAATCCAGTCATCCGAGGAGCTATATATGTAGAGAAATTAAAAAATGGTCCAGGCAGAGAGATTGGAAAGAGACTGAAATATGCAAGTAAAAGAATAGAGGAAACCTTTGACATTGGGTTTGATATAAAACTCCTTGCTGCCAGGACCAAGATCAATCTGCTCCACAGGCTTGTACACGACGCCGTCAGCCCTCAACAATCCCATTTTGCTTGCGGGACTGGTGGGGTGGCTGCTGTTAGGGCAAATTCAAAAATGTTCAACCAATACAGTAAAGTAAGATTGGAACACATAGAACACAGAGTAATGAATTAATTATTTATTTATACAAGTGAGATTGTATCTACATAGTCAAAAATAAGTCACAGTGAGTCGGCCCCTAAATTGGGCAATGGACCACCCGACAAGACAGGTTGGCAAAACTCCCAAGTCTGATTTACTTGATTCTTTTGTCCTTTTCTAAATAGCAACGCAAGTGACACGCCAAATTTATATAAACCTAGCTAGAGCATTCCATTGCCTTTCGCCACTCTATTGGAAAGTGACACACAATGTTTAAATAAGGTTAGGGCATTCAATCGCCCTCCACCAGGCCAAGTACAAATTTGGTTGGACATGAAATTCGATTGTCTTCATCAGGAAATTAAAAAGATTATATGATTTTAATATAAAATAATATGTCACCATTTGTTGAATAATTTTTTTAAGATTTTAAATGTTAAATAACATTCAAAATTTTTTTAAATATTTATTTACAAAAGTATTATTTGATATATATATATATATATATCATTTTAATAATTTTTAATTATTTATTAACTTCTCAAATATATACTATAATTTTTATTATATACAAATTTTAATCTATTGTTCTTAGTAGTTATTTTCTATTCTTATTACACTTTACCTCCCAATCATTGCATTTTACATCTAAACACATATTTTATTATTGTTTTAATCACACTTTATATTATCCAATCTCATAATTAAAGTAACTAATATCTTACCACCATTATTTTCAATATTACTAAAATTAATCTCACCGTTCATCCAAATATTCTCTTAAAAGGTGTATATATATATATATAACTATACATATTTCATATATAGTCAATTAATTATATTTTACCACTTCATTAATGTATTAATAAGTAAAGTCAAAAGTTTATAAGTCCTTAAAAAATTAAAAATAATTATTTATAAGTTGATTTGGGCAAGAAAATATTAGATTTCTAGAGACTCAAAATTTAAAGTAAAAAATTTGTATTTTAATTATAAAAAAATATCTTATAATATAAGAAGGAACAAATTAAGAAATAATTACATATTTAAGTTTCTATGTGAAAGTTAAATTAATTATTAAAACGATAAAATTAAAATTAATTGTGAGATATATATTTAGATAACAAAAGTAGTGAAAAGAGAAAATTACTATTAAACTATTAAAGTCATTAAATTAAAATTTTTATATAATAAAATTTTCATATTATTTTGCATTTATGAAGTTAATAAATAAATGAAAATTATTTAAACTATTTTATGTCAAATAATAATTTTGTTAATAAATAATTAATAATGTATAAAATTATAATAATGTATAAAATATTTTGTATAGATACCTAATTTTGTTTGATTTAGTAATTTCATATTCTAAACTAATTCAGCTTTTAGACTTATGTTCAAATTTCCACAAAGTCAATTTAACATTAATCTTGGAATTATGAATTGTCTATAAAAACTCTGAAATTAACTTCAAAATGCAATCCGTTTAGAAAGGCCCAAAATTAAATTACAAAGTATTAGACAAATGTTTAGTCTATTTCAAAATCCAACGCCCAAGATCCAAGTCTGATTAAGGCTTATAATTGTTGGATTTTGTTTGAATTTTAATTAATTAAAATTTTTATCTAAAAATCTAAAAAAAAAAAATCAAAACGTGATGCTATGCACGGCACCAGCACCTATTGTAACGCCCCAATCCCACATCAGGAGGATGTGTGGATAAATAATGATATATATGTAAAGACTTAATCTCAAACTTATGAGGCACTTTTTGTGGGACAAAATCGTGAGACCTTCGAGTTAAAGCGGACAATACCTCGCAGGTTGGGTGCAGGTCTCTACACCTATCCCCTTCAAGTCCTTTTCTACCGAGCTACCCTACTCACCACCTCTTACAACCACCTTACCTTATCTTGTAACTACTTTAACCCTGTCTTGTAGCACCCTAATAATTGCTACCAACCACCATGATAGTTGGAATCAAGGACTAAATTCTATGTTGGAATTGAATAAAACCCAACTAAAAATCAATAGAGATGGGGGCCAATTTGGAAAAAGACCCAATTTACATAAAAAAATTCTCCAAAAAAAGAGACCCCATTACTAGTGTTCACTACCCAAAAGCAACCTTAGAATAGCCTTGAACGACCACACCACCAAACCAGAATCAACCCACCACCGAATCACCTTATAAGGAATACAAACCCTAAAACCACTGCTTGCACTCATAAGCCACCTACAACCACTTGCAAACCAAAAGCCAAAATACACCAAAACTGCATCTATCAACTCTTTAAGCCAAATCACCCTTACCTTCACCATCTTAAACCCAAGCTCAAACTTACAGCCTCAAAATCCCAAAAATGAACCACCTACCAACCACTAAAAAACACATAGGCATATAGCCACAGAAAAAAAAAAATACATCCTTGAATGAAACAATAGCATTAGAGAAAAGTAAAAAATACATTAAAAAATCAAAATACAAAGAAGGAAAAAAGATTTTAGTTCTGAGGTTTTTGGAAGAATTTTTAGCCAAAATTTTTAGATGGAAGAAAGGTCATGGAAAAGAGAATAACATTGTAAAAAAAGGCGTCGATTGGAGCGACGAAAAGTAGAGGTTTTTTGGGTGGAAGTTACAATTTTTTGGCTTAGGTCTAGGGCATTTCAAGTTGTTTTAGGCCAAATCAAGATAAAAAATAAGTAGATGAAGGCAAGAGAAAACATTTGGTGTATTTTGGGTTTCAAATGCCAATGATCAGTAATAGCCGACAAAAGATGGTAACTAGTGCGATTACCATCTATTGGTTTATAAGAAAGAGATGTTGCAATTTGGCTTGTTTAAAAGAAAAGAAAATCTTTTTTAAGAAAATGATTGAAATAATTTAAAGAAATAATGGTGTTTTATGGTAAAAAAAAAAAACTTTTTGGTCGACTTGCTCTTATAACGTATAGATCCGTGCACTTATAACTAAATATAATAAAAAAATCGTCATCAATCTTTTTTACTAAAGATATGATTGGTCACCTAATGGATCTATCCCTTTGAAAAATTCTTAAACTTAACCAAAAGTTCTTAAAAGAATAGATTCTGGTCTATTAATCAAATTAAAGTTCAGGAGTTCAATTACGTATAGAGAAAGTTATAACACCTTCACCTCTAAAAGACAATACCACTCAACTTCAAATGATCCTAAGAATCTTAGTTTTAATGGTTTTTTTTTTAATGTTTAAATATCAAAAATAACTTCTAAAATTTATCTTTTAATTTGGCATAATTCTTAAAAATACTTCCTCATTTCAAGACTATTAAAAATTTTATTTGTTTTCTTGAAAAGGCTACGTCATCTAAAAAACTTAATCATATATTTTTTATTAAATTTTGCTTAATCGAAATACATCTAATTCTTTTACCATTTTGGTTGAAATTAAAAATATTTTCTCACCTAAAAATTTCTTAAATAATCATCTTTTTGCTATTATTATGAATTTCATCTTTAGAATTTATATTTTATTTTAGATAATTTTTCTATGTCTAACTTTCTATTGTATTGAGATATGTCTAAATTTTTCACCATTTGAACTGAATTTAGAATTTATGATTTTTCAGACTCCTATTATTTATTTCTAATTTTTTGAATGAAAATAAAAATGCCAATTATTATTTTTTAAAATCTTAACTAAATTCTTCCGTCATTTAAGATGAATTTTATAAAAGATTTTTACCTAGAAATTCATTAGAAAATCAACAATTTATGATTTTCTTGGGCTTTCATCATTGAATTAGTGTTATATATTTTCAAACAAATTTATAAGTTATGTTTTTTTTTATTTGATTTATAAATGAATACAATTATTTTTATTAAAATTTTATCTAAATTATTCCACCATTCAGGTTAAATTTAGAAAAATTCTTCACCTAGAAATTCCTTAAAAAATTGACCATTTGAAGTTTTTAAAAACCTCATCATCTGATAATTATTAATTGATTTCCAAAATTTTATTAAATTTATTTTGTACTTTGAAAATAAATATTAATTATTGTTATTAAAATTTTATCTAAATTTCTCCTCCATCTAAGTCAAATTTAGAAAAAAAAATCTCTCACCTAGAAATTTCTTAAAAAATTATCCATTTATAATTTATAAGAATTTCATCTTTGGATAATTATGATTTATTTTCAAAATGTTATTAAAGTTTTATTTTAACTTTTATTATTTTTTACCCTTTATTATGTTTTTTATAACTTAAAATTACTTCTCCTAATAAATAAATAAATAATCAAACAAAATAAATCATAAATAAATAAATAAGTAATAAACTAAAATAAAAAAACATAAAAAATAAAATGAAAAAAAACTCATACAAAATAAATAAAATGAAATTAACAAAAAAAAAATGGAAAACCTGCGGAACAAGTTGGGTCGAAGTCAGGTTGGGGAGTGGATCCTACTCGGGTCGACATATAGATTATAAATTTTTTTAAAGCCAAAACGAGATTATTTGGCTACGATATAAAAGCTAAAAATTTACTTTTTTTTCTTTCAAATTTATTTTCCCTTCTCTCTTTTTTTTTTTTTTACTTTGTTTCTTTCTCTAAAACCTGATGAATATTGGTGGCCAAAATTGAAACATCTATCGAGATTTGGGATTAATCGCAAGAATCTCATTAAAAGTTGGATGAAATTGGGGTTTAATAGTCAAATTTTGGAAATGGTCACCGAAAACTAGAATTTCTACCAGAATTTCGCCAAAAACTTTAAATTTGGTAAAAAAAATTCAACGAAATATGAGAATTTAAAAAAAAACTTCCAAAAAAAACTTATTTTTGATTTCTTTCTTTTCCTTCAACTCTAATCCTTCAAACACACTTTCTAAATCAAATCCAAAGTCCTAAAAACTCTTCAATCAAGAAAAACCTTATCATAGAACAAGTTTCTGTGTTTTTATTTCTCTTTGTGTTTATCTAATTTGTTGTGTGTTTCATTGTTGATTGAAGATCATATTTATAAACAT